TTCAGGTCCCAGATCTGGAGGCTTAAACTCACACCAGGCACGTGTGCATGTGTGCCCAAGATCTTGAGGAGAATGGAGGAGAAGGGATTGCGGCATGGCCATCCCCCCTAGGGGGTGATTTCTCGCTTTCTGTCTGTTTCTCTCTGTCTTTCTGGCAAGCACAAGCGCCCTATAGCAAAAACCTCTCCAAAAAAAAAAAAAAAGAAAGGAAAGAAAAGAAAAATGGGACTATCAACTAAAAATTTTGAGACTCCTAGAAGGGATATTACCAATGTAAAGGTCATAATAGTACTTTTTAGTCTTTCTCAGGGACAATTTATAGGATACTATTTGGGTCTCATGTGGTACAGCCAGAAGACTGTTGGATTCATTTCATTAGTGATAACAGCAAAATAAATGTCAGTATTCTAGGTTATATACATCTTATTTTTTTAATGGAGTTATAATAAAATTTCAATAGGAAAAGTATAATAGTGATATTCTTTAAAATATCAGTAATTCTTTACATTCTTCACAGGTTTTCACATCTTCTCCCTAGAGGTCATTGTACTGAACTGACATAGTAACTAGGATACAGACAGGAATAAGGTTATTGCCCTGTTTTTACAGAGTCAGAGGGCAGGGCTCCGAGAAGACGGTGGTGGTAGAGCTAGGTCTAGAATGCATCTCTTTAGCCACAAGTGCAAGGCTTCAGCAAACTGTACCTCCAACCTGAAATAATTACGTAGATGCTATAAAGGCTCCAGTTTGTAGCCATTGATTCTCAGATGTGTTTTAGATGCAGTTAAGTTTAAAGGTAGAGGACTGTGGGAGGGTTTCCATTTATACCTGATTCATTTGAGATGTTCATTGATAAAAAGCAAGATGTCTAGACTGTAAAAGGTGGAAGACCTCTTCCTTAGATTGCCCAGAGACATTGCTTATGGGCCACCTTGGCAGTTCTTAGCGAGGAGAAGGTAAAAAGTATGAGGCATATGAAATATCATATGCAAACACCATGACCCAAAGTCACCAGGTAATTCTCAATGGTGATGCTTACTGCTGCTTTGTTCATGTCAGTAGAAGCCATGACGTTTCATGTAACATTTGTCCATTTTGTGAATTGCTCATTGAGAAACTTACTATGATTTCTTCTGTAGCTCTTGGGCTCACAGAAAGAATTTAGCAGCATTATCACTAGTGTGTCCACAAGAAGCAAATGTAAGAATGAAAAAGTTAGCAGGCAGGCAGGACAGCATTAGATGAGGAGCTATGGCTTTCCAACCTATAAACTCTCTCTCCTCAACTTTTTGCAGTTTTTCCCTAGCTTTTTTTTTTCCTAAAAGTTTTTGCCATAGGGCATGTATACTCACTAGAGAGATACAGAGAGAGCAAAAGTGAGAAATCATACCCCAGAGGGGGATGGCCATGCTGCAGTCCCTCTCCTTCATTCTCCTCTCAGGACTTTGGGCACATACTCAAATGTGACTAGCATGAGTTTCAAGGCACTGGGTCTTGGACTTGAACCTTGGTTGATCAGGTGGGAGTCCAGCACCCTAACTACCACGCTACCTGCTGGCCCCTTTCCCTAGCTTTTTGTCTTGAAATTTTCTCCCTGCCTTTATTTTTTTGTTGTAATTTTGCTATTGAACTTATGTGTTCACCAGAGAGAGAGAAAATGAGAAAGCATTCTTGGAGGGGATGGCCACACTGCAGTCCCTTCTCCATTCTTCTTTTAGGATTTTGGGCATCCACACCCATACACCCAGCATGTTTTTCAAGCTGCTGGGTCCAAGACTCAACCTTCACAGTTGGCTATGTGGGGATCCAGCTGCCTTAACCACCACAATACTGGCTGGTCCTTGAAATATTCAAATCTATGAAAAGGTTGGGTGGAAAATGCAGTGAACTTCTGTATATATATATATATATTTTTTTTTTTTTTGGAGAGGTTTTCGCTATAGGGTGCGTGCACTCGCCAGACAGACAGAGAGAGACAGACAGAAAGCAAGAAATCATCCCCCAGAGGGGATGGTCACGCCGCAATCCCTTCTCCTCCATTCTCCTCTTGGGATCTTGGCCACACACGCACACGCGCCTGGCGTGAGTTTTAAGTCACCGGGTCTGGGATGCGAACTGCGGTCGACTACGTGGGAGCCCAGTGACATAGCCAGTACGCTAACTGCTGGTTCCCAACTTCTGTATATCCTTAACTTAGATTAACAAATTATTAAGATGTTGCCACATTTGCTTTAATTCTGTGCATGAAAGCAAGTGTATATGTGGGTTTGCTTGACAAAGCCTTTGAAAGTGTCAGACATCATTAGACCTTCCAAAATACTTCAGCCTGCATCTCCTAAGTACAAAGGCATTCTGTCAAGTAACCAGTTACACCATTGTTGTAGCTAAAAAATTAATAATTTCATAATGTCTAATACAGAGTCCTTTTCCCATTTTCCCCAATTCCAGTTGTCTCAAACATTAATTTTACAGTGTCTAGGATCTAATCAATGTTTATGCATTACATTGGCTGTTACGTCATAGTCTCTTTTAATTGCTTTTACCCTCTGTCTTAAAAAAAAAAAAAGATTTTTCTAAGACACAGTCTTTTTTGAGAAGTCCAGATGAGTTGTCCTATGGAATAGCTCATATTTTGTACATGTGTAATCTTTCTATCATCATGATTAGATTGTGATAAAAACCATTTTGTTTTTGTTTTTGTTTTGGCAAGAATACTATGTTGTGTAGTTATCTATTGTCAAGGTTAGGTTCTTCCACCCATCAGAGATGCTAAATTTAGTCACCAGTAGAAATTTGGGTCTTCTTCAGAGCAGTCCAGATTTAATGTTAGAGGTTTCTCCACTAACCACACAGCATTATTTACTTTTTTATAAGCATGTGTTATTAATAAGAAAAATAATAATTTATTAGGATTAGAAGTAGTGGTATCTAGTAGTGTTTACCTTATTGCCCCAAAGGGTGCTTATAGTAAATGTTTCCTCCCACCTCCCTCTTCATGACTATTCAGGAAATTTTTGTGGATTAACTGCGGTGAGGCCCCCAGTGTAGAGGCTGGTAGGAATAAGCCTTTATGGAGGGAGGATGACAGGAAGATGAACAATTACTGAGCCATTCCCCATACCTTGTCACTGGGCTGTGCTCTCTGTGCATTTTCTGCACAGTAACCCCATTAGATTAACAGCCTTCTTTACCCACTTTACAGATTAGAAAGCTCAGACACAGAAGGATTGAGGAGTTTGCCCAAGGACCCCCAGCATGTAAATGTAGAGCCTGGTTCAGACCCAGGACGAGCTGACACCAGGGCCCAGTTCTTACCATCTGTGCCACCTCTCCTGTTGTGTACCAGGTGTCACTGCCTCATATATTTTCTTGTGTAATTCTTACATCAATGTGTAAGGAACTGTCTCAGATAGATGAAATGATTAAAGAGGGCATATGATATCTGAACCATTTATCTATTTTGTGGTTCTCTCCCATGTTTCAACCAAGGTCTTTAACAGCAGAGTGGTTTATCCAGCGGGGTCCCTTTTCCCACTCCCCAGCACCCACATAAGCAGGAATCATGTGCTGGAAATGAAACCAGGTGGCAGAAGCAGCTACACAAGCAAGAGAAGCCTGATCGGGTCCACATTAACCAGATGGCAGGAGTGAGAGCCTTCACTTACAGTTCTGGGACCATCAGTGAGAAGTGGGATGACAGTGAACCTGAAATAAAGGTCGTTGAACTGGTTTTCCAAGGGAAAGTGTTTCCTTACCGTCTTCCCTCTCATCAAAGAGGATATGGCAGTCTTGTTTTTCACACCAGTGGCCAAGACCATGAAGAAATTTCTGAAGGAGAGTGTGATTATTAATAGTTTTTTGGGGACCGGCCCCATGGTCTAGTGGTTAAGGAAGCCAGATCCTACATGGCCAGTCAAGCAATTCAAATCCTGGACCAGTGACCTGAAAAGTATGATGGGTGTGTGTGCCCCAAATCCCAACAGGATGGAGAGATGAAGGAGAAGAAATTGTGGTGTGACCACTCCCCACTGGGGAATGCTTTTTCTCTCTCCCTTTCTCTCTCTCTCTAGCGAGCACACATACCCTCTGGAAAATGTTTCTTTTTAAGTTTCTGGTGCCCACTTTTGACTTTCTTTTTTTAAAACATTGTCAGTGAGTCTATATAATTATAGCATAATGAGGACCAGCAGTTGGCATAATGGCTATGTCGCTGGACTCCCATGTAATCGAACGCAGTTCGAATCCCAGACCCAGTGGTTTAAACTCACGCCAGGCGCAAGTACACGCATGCCCAGGATCCTGAGAAGAGAATGGAGGAGAAGGGATTGCGGCGTGGCCATCCCCCCTGGGGGGTGATTTCTTGCTTCCTGTCTCTCTCTGTCTTACTGGCGAGCGCAAGTGCCCTATAGTAAAAACCTGTCCAAAAAAATTATAATTAACTGAGGAGTAGAATTTACCTGTAATGTTCAAAAGAACAAAGGGATTTTGCCTTTAGAAGTCAGTTGTGCATTTATTTTTAATTTTATAGGAAAGACCTTCTGTTTCTAACAAATTTCTGTGGAAGTCCACAGAAATTTAGACCCTAGCTCTAAACCTTAGATAAGCCATTTGCCATTTCTTAGTGTTTTCACTTGTGATAAGAGACTAACTTGGCCTATTTCATAAGTTTTTGTGAGGATTAAATTTGCATACATGCTTGTATGCATGCACACACACACATACACACACACACAATGTAGCAGAGTTCCTGACACTGAGTAAGCACTCCGTGTGGAGGTCATCATCATCATCATTGAGTTTAGATAGTGTTCTTACATGGTCTTGGGTGGAAAACCTTCCCTCAACTAGAATAGTCGGCCGTTTAACCCAGGAAAACAAACATTCCAGACACTTCCTGGCTATGCCTTAGCTAGAGACTAGCTCTCCCGTAGTGCCTCTCTCTGGTGCTGGAAGGTGGCGTCTGTTACATGGTGCCTGTCAAATTCTGTTTTCTGTTTCAGGTTGTTAGCTCGACCAACGGAGAGCTGAATGTTGATGACCCTACGGGAGCCCACTCCATCGCACCAATCACAGCTCATGCCGAGGTGGAGGTAGTGGAGGAAGCAAAGTACGTTCATCTTTCAAGGGGGCTCTTGAGTCATGGGTTGAAAAATCTTCTGTCTCTTCTCCGTGTGCTGCTCATCTCAGACTGGATTCCTTATGCTTGTGTCCATAGCTTTCTTCCTTTGGCCATTTTATTTTTTGCATGGTACCTTAAGGCTGCTACTGCCCCCTTTAGCTATGATTTCTGGGAAGGCGACCACATTTTTCTAATGCTCATGGGGCAAAGAACGTGGTGAACTAGAAGAATCATATTACAAGGGCTACAACATATAGTGACTTTGTGCCTCTTGGGGCCCTAGAACTTCTTGCTCCTTTTGGGGTGCAGAGAAAAATGTGTTAAGCCATAGGTCATGCTGAGTAGCATTAGCCAGTTGTTGGCTAAGAACTTTGGGTGAATAGGCCTGGGATAAGGATTTCAGGGCCAGTTGTCTCTCAGATGATTCTGTACTGAGAGAGACTAAATAAGTCAGGCAGGAAAAATATTCTGCTCCTGGGAGTGAGAGAGTCCTGGGAAGGAGAGGAAGTCATACCAATCCCAAGAGAGCTAGGAAGCTTGCCCACACCCTTTTTTGCTTCTCTTGCATGTGTGTGTTGCCCGCCATATTCCCACCCTGTGGTGCTCTCTGCATGGTCTGTGTTTAAACTCTTAGAATCTGGGGTGGAAGGTGAAATAACTACCAATTCTGCTGCAAAAGCAGCATTTCTTCCACTTCTTTTTTCTTTGCCCTATCCCAAACTCAGATCTAGGTTCAAACTCCAAGAAGACAGGTAGGAAGAGATAGGCACCACGACTCAGTAACTGCTGTCAACCTCAGTGGGGCTGACCTTTTTCATAAGCCCTTTAAGGACCTTCTGGACTTCTGAGGAGCTTGTTCTCTGAGGCAGGCCTCTTGTTTATAATGGTACTATGCCCTAAGTGGTTTCTTGAGCCCCTCAGTAGCCCAAGTACAAGGCAGAACCTGCTCACACCTAGGGTAGAAGTCAGTGAGAGGCCAGCTGAGACCCGTGTTGTTCTTCCTTCTGGATTCACTTCGCATGGTGGGCCCCCTTGCCTGCTCTCCTGTCCATCTTTCTGATGAGCTTACTGTGCCTTCAAGAGGTCCTTTCTCTGGAAAGCTAGGGCTCAAGGATTCCTACCCAATAGATAAGACACCACTGAGGGTGATGTGGACCCTCCTACTGAGCCCTTGCTAACTGTCAGCAGCGTCAGATGCTCTTCCCCTTCCTGGCACATAGGAGGCCGGAGGTGGGGGCAGGAGGAGATGCCAGGAGGAGACCATTCTTGGTAAGAAAACATGCTCTCTATTCTCTGAGACGAGATTTGAATGGAAATTCGGTTTCTTTGTTTGTTTCCATGAAAAACTACATTCTCCCAAATAATGTAATACTCTTAACTCTCTGGACTCCCAGCCTTGCCTGCACATTGGAGTCGCCTGGGGCATGTTAGAGATGCCTGAGCCTGGTCCACACAGATTCTGATTTAATTTGTCGAGGTGTGGCCTGAGCACCAAGAATTTTTATAAAATTTAGGTAATTCCAATGTGTATCTAAGGTTGGGAACTCCTACACTAGGCACTGTCTCGTCCAGACATTGTCTGGGCTTGGAAGATGACCATTCCCGCTCTTACCTGACCCTGCTCCCAATTTGCCTTTGTGGATATTACTTTGAAGCTAGAAGTTTAGCTCTGGAGTTAATCGTATATTGTGAATACTGAGAATGAGTGAACTTTAATCTTATACCCTGTACGAGTTCGCCTTTTTGGACCCATTCATCTCGTTTCATTTTGGTAAATGTATACTAAACTGTATGTGTGAGTGTAGTGTTTGTGTCCTTTGTGTAAGACGGGGTCATTCACACAGAGATCTGGTGTATTCTGCTCTGGAATAATCTATACTCCAGAATGTAAAGAGAGTTTAAAGGCTTCCCACTTACCAAAGGTGCCTCCTGGCCACCAGCTCCAGGTGTGGGCTTTCTGAAAGATGTGGAAACCAGAGGGAGCAATTATATTTGGCCAGATGCTATCGGGAGGCTCCTGGCTTAGGGCATGTTGTGTGCCAATTCCCCCGTGGTCCCATGAGCTGCCCAGGGAGCTGTCAGGGCCCAGCCTTCAATGTGAGTGGGGCAGGGAAGCAGTGGCTGTGTGTCCATCTGCTTGATTGTTTTCATGGGGAAGAGTTCACAGCTAGAGAAGCAGAAGGCATCCTAAGCAGCCCCTCATTGCACACCCCTGTGAAGCCACTTGTTTATGCCTGCTTGTGGGGGGAGGGGGCAATGTTGAGACTGCTTGAATACTGAGGAGACCAGGTGAAATCTTCATTTCTAAGCTTTTGATTTTGGGTTCCCTTCTCAGCTTGTTTTGTGTAGAGGCAGAAAGAAATAGCAGGTCTTGGTTTCTGTTCTGTGTATAAGGTGAACATCCGACTTCCTTTGTTTTCTACCTGTAGGATACATGTCCTCGTTAGAGTGTGGTTGAAAAGGAGGTGAGGCAGGTAGCTTTTTGATTGATTTTTGTAATAGTAAGAACATAGAATTCTTTGTTATCCAGACTTTAGCTGTAACTTAACAAATGTGGACCTCATTTCTTACAAGAATTAGTAAGAGTAAGATTCAGACCTTTCTCTGGAAGATGACCTGAGTCCAGAGCTGTGACCCTCCTCCCTGTGGTTCATTTTCTGCTGTAGTGTCTCTTAAACCTGTCACTGTCTAGAGGAAGAGCTAGCTGCTTTGAGCGGCATGTTGGATGGACTTATTGGAAGGCCAGGAGCTTCAGGTACTTGTGGATTGGCTTAGTTGCTCAGCAGGACCCCATGTGGGAACCCGAAAGGCTCTGTGTGGTGCTTGATTGAGTTCTCTCACGCAGGGTCATTCTGCTCCTTCTCCTGCTTCCATCCTGGAAGTTGCCCAGGAAAGCCCATTGTGGAGCTCCCACCAGCTCCTCCTATTTTGCCTTTCCACTGAGATCTAGCTCCCGCCTTGACACCTTTTAGGCTCCTGCCCCTCCACTTTAATGTGGGACCAAATGTCCTGGCCTACTCACCTACCTTGACAGAAGAAGAAACTAAACACAGACACATCCTGCATGTTTGCATGGCTCACAGGGAGTCGCTTCCATCTCACCTCTGTGGACTAATATCTCTTTCTCTCTCTTCCTTTCTGTGTTTTTCTCTTTACATACTCTGTAGCTGCCTGAAAATGCTCAACCTGTGGTGAGTCCCTCTCTCCAGTCCACATGCAAGGGGAGCGGACCAGACTAGGCTGGGATTGGCAAAGCCAAACAAAATGCCTTAGGAACATTGAATGGCTTCCATATTGCCTCCTTGTGCCATAACCACCCTGACTGGGGAACTAGAGCCACAAGGTGGGGATGGGGCAGGCCTGTACCCAGGAATTAATCTATTCCTTCTCTGCTTTTCAAACTCACCTCATCACTGCCTCCTCCTACCAAAACAGTATCCCACAGTATCCAAGATTATCTCTTTATTTTCGGCTAAGTGAATTTTCTTGCAAATTACTATGAATAGACACTATTACAGGAAGAGGGACAGAGGTTAGAGGACAAGGTTACCATATTATTGATAGTGGCTAAATACCAGTTGTGTTTCTTCACAACCACAAGGACAGTGTTGCTACCAGATAATCTCACATTCTGCAACTTGGTCTCTAACCTGGAAATTGGCTGCTTTGGAAAAAAATTGTGACTTTTCTTTTTGATTCCCTGGACTGCTTCCTATGTCTATATAGTAGTCTCAGAGGAGAGCTCCTTCTTGCAGGAGAGATGGACCTTTTGATGTTGTCAGTTTGGGGATTGTTTTGTTTGTTTGTTTTTTGTTTATTGTCTTTTTCTTTATTCCTGTAAGAGAGTATAGTGGGCTAAGGGCTGACTCAGCTAATTGAGATTTTGGAGTTTGTCTTTTCCACTCCTGGAGAAGGCTCTTTAATGGCTCTTATTAGGAACCACATGGAGTATGTGGAAGAAGCCCTACAGAATCTGTATGGTGAGGAATATGCTTGCCATGAGATGGGGTTATCCCCAGCCCTTCCTGGACACTTCTTAGGACCTCGTGGGTGCTCCTGGACTTGTTGGTCTGTTGCAGCCTAGAATCATAACTCTCACATTGACTGCACACGCGGGGCCCTATTTTGTGATGGTAACAATATGCGAGGCCCTTCGACTACCACGCTTCTCTATTTGTCTTCAGTGACAGTTGAGTACTAGTTTCTGAATTGTTTAAGCCAAATTGCCAGATTTCCCTGTTTTGAAAACCTAGATGGAAAAAAAAGAAAAGAAAACCTAGATGTATAATCACTGACCTTTATGGAAGTAGAATTTGTAACCTTAGAGTATCAAAAAGTAGTACATTTGGCCTACTAGTTTCGCAAATATGTGTCTGTGTAATCTGACATTGTCATGATCTATTTTTTCCTGTGAAGTGTTAGTCACCTGATCCTGACTACAAATACTTGAGGACCTACTGTGTGCTCATCCAACTCTGTGCTTGGAACCCTAGGGGATCCCAAGTTCGCCCCAAAGAGCTTAGGGACTATCTAGCTAGAAGATAAGACAGACATAAAAGAACAAGTTCTCCAGGTCACTTTCATTATTATTATTATAGTCTTCGAGAGGATGAGGGACAGGAAATCACTATGGACAGGGATGGTCAAGGAAGACTTAATGGATACTGCAGGAGCTGAGTAATTCTTTTAGAGCAAAAGAAGAGTATACAAATAGGTGAAGAAGAGGAACATAGCAAGGGACTAACCAAAGGAAAGAGGCAGAATAGTAAGAGGGCAGTGGGCCAGGGACCAGGAAAGGACACCGGATGGTGTGTGTACAAGGAGCCTTGGACAAGTTTAGATTCCAGTGTGTTACAAACATCCAGTCATGCAGACAATCAAAGAATCAGTTGGAAGAGAACCTAAGACCCAAGAAGGGTTTATCACCTGCCTTCATTCTCTCTGTAGAGAGTCATTCTGTGGGCTTGATCTGGAGTCGGACTCAGTTTAACAGGGCCTGTTGCTAGTTGTACTGCAGGAACCAAGGAGTTGAAGAGCAGGTCGTGGGGCTGGCTTTGTCATAGGTTGAACTATTAAAGCTAAAAAAAGCTTCTACTACTGCTAAAGCTTTAACTATAGTAAGTAGCAAAAGTTAATTTAGGGCTCTAAATTTAAAATAGCACAGTTTCTCCTTGAAATATAGCTTATATTCTTCTCTACTCAAGTGAATTATGCTTGTAAGCATTAATGCTTAGGGCTTGCCATAGGGGAGGTCGGACCTAAACAGTATTGCAAACTTATTTTTACTGCTTTTATTTAAGAACACAAAATCATCATCTTAGCATCTTCCCAAAAGGATAAGATTAGAAACTGACTTAAAAGTTACTAATGCCAGGTCAGCCTGTGACTTGGTGGTAGGGACAACTGGATCCCACATGTCTGACTGTGCAGTTCAAGTCTTGGACTCAGCAGCTTGAGAAACACGCTGGGTGCATGTGTGCCCAAAATCCCAACAGGAGGAAGAGGTGTAGAAGGTTGCAGCGTGACCATGGCCCACTGAGGGTGCTTTCTCACTCCCTTCTCCCCCTCTGGTGAGCATACACATCCTCTTGCAATTTATTTTTTTAAAGTTAATAATGCCTATGCACATCATAGTTAGGAGAACAAGTAAGTCTGCTGAGATATTGGTGCTCCCATGAGACTTAATTTGCCTCCTTTAGTATTAATTTTAGGACATTCAACTTGGAAAATGTCCCTTTCTAAAAGCATGTGTCCAGAAAAAAAGACCATTTTTTTCTGTAACTCTTCCCTGGTGTTTTCACCAAGGACTATTTTAAACAATCAAAAGCATTGGTTGGCCCAGTCTCAATAGCACATGCTGGATGCTGCTGCTTAACAGGCTGAGGCCACATGGGAAGCCCAGGTGTGATTCCTAGCTCACCCTAAAAAGCTACATGGTGGCACATGTCTGTGGTCCCATCTACTTGGGAGGCTGAGATAGGAGGATCAGAGAACAGCAAACTCCTGTTTAGAACACCCACCCACATACAGTATTGGTCATTTTTATTTAAAAGAATATATTCAGGGCCAGCTCATGGCATAGTGATTAAGGCGGCTGGATCCCACAAGGTTGACCACGTGGTTTGAGTTCCAGACCTGGCAACTTGAAAAAAACACTAGGCATGTGTATATGCATGCTTACCCAAAGTCTCAAAAGGAAGGAGAAATGGAGAAGGGATCGTGGCTTGACCATTCCCCATGGGGGTTGCTTTCTCACTTTCCCTTTCATTATCCCTCTCTGCGTCTCTGGAAAATTAAAAAAAAAGGGGGGGGGTTGGGGGAGCCAGATGGCATGGTGGTTAAGGTGCTGAGTTCCTAAATGGCCAACTACGGTGTGGATCCCAAACCCGGTAGCTTGAAATTCATACTAGACATGTGTGCATGTGTTCCCAAATCCTGAGAGGAAAATGAAGGGATTGCAGAGTGGCCATCTTCCCTGGGGGATGATTTCTCACTTTGCGTCTCTCTCCATCTCCTTCCAGCGAGCATACACACCCAATGACAAAAACCTTTAAAAAAATAAAAAAGAATTTATTCATTTTCGTATACATATGACACTTTAGTTAGTGACTGTATCTGCACCCAAAAAATAGTTTTTACTACCCTATTAAGAAACTCCTGTTTTGGGACCAGCAGTTGGTGTAATAGCTATGTCTCTGGACTCCCATGTAGTCAACTGCAGTTCGAGTCCCGGACCCGGTGGCTTAAATTCAGCCCGGGCGCGTGTACATGCATGCCCAGGATCCCGAGAGGAGAATGGAGGAGAGAGGATTGAAGTGTGGCCATCCCTGCTGGGGGGTGATTTCTCACTTTCTGTCTCTTTTTGGTGACTGCACGCGCCCTATAGCAAAAACCTCTCCCCCAAAAAAAGAAGAAGAAAATCCTGTTGCAAAATTTCTTTTTTTGATTCATTCAGAAATAGTTAAAGCCCATCATTGTCTGCATAAATGTTTGTTTCTGCACTGTAAGAAGTTTTTAATAAGTAGTCCATTGAATGTAGGAATACCAAGGCAAACATCTAAGAAGACTCTTACTAGAGTGAAGAACTTAGGGATATGGAAAGTAGCAGCAATTCCTCATTTCTGTATTAACATCCCTGGCATTAAACCTGGAAGGATTAGACAAGAGACCCAAAGATAGCTTTCTTAGAAATAAGTTTTTGTGAGGGCCCACCAAGTTCAAGCTATATTTCCAACTTTGCTCCCTCCATCATCTGGCATCTCTGATTCATCTGCCACCTCCTGTCCTTTACATTCTCATTTCCCATGCATCAGCTTCCTGGAAAGGACATAGCTTTCGTACCATCCTTGCCACAGCCCTCAGCACCCCGTTCTGGACTCCTGAGCAAGCATGGCACTTTCTTTTCCATAGACAGGAATGAGGAGGGGACACTCAGGCTTAGGTATGTGCCAGGCTGTGGCTGTTCCCAGGAGGTAGCATGAGGATGGAGACCAGTCCCCGACAACTGCTCTAAACAGGGCTGCAGCAGCAGTGGTCTCAGACAGCTAAGTTGGGGAGTACCCTACAATCAGAGGGCCTACTGATGATCAGCTTCTGGACTGTGGCATTGGTCCCCTCTGAATGAAAAGGGAGGCTTTACTGGTCTCAGTTAAGAGATGTGGACTCAGTTTTTACTAGAGTCATGGCATATCTTATCTATTCCAGGTAGCTAGTGGGCTCGGGGGTGGGATGGGAGATGGAGAGAATCCTTAATCCTTCAAGGGTAGCATCATGAGATCCTCCCAGAGTTTCAGACATCGTATTTCCATAGGATTTGTTTGCCTTAGTTTAATCTCTCTATGCACTGACCAGGGAGTTGTATAAAGAATTTTGCCCTCAGTATCAAGAAGCAGACAGTACAGGCTGCTGTTCATGCAGTGCCAGGGAGCTCCAGCTTTGGTTCTAGATAAAGGCGAGACATTTCATTTGAGTATTAGACTAGGAGAGAAGCCTTTTTCATCCTCCTCCTGGAAATAAATGCCTGTTTGAGCCCTCAACTGCTCTAAACAGGGCTGCAGCAGCAGTGGTCTCAGACAGCTAAGTTGGGGAGTACCCTACAATCAGAGGGCCTACTGATGATCAGCTTCTGGACTGTGGCATTGGTCCCCTCTGAATGAAAAGGGAGGCTTTACTGGTCTCAGTTAAGAGATGTGGACTCAGTTTTTACTAGAGTCATGGCATATCTTATCTATTCCAGGTAGCTAGTGGGCTCGGGGGTGGGATGGGAGATGGAGAGAATCCTTAATCCTTCAAGGGTAGCATCATGAGATCCTCCCAGAGTTTCAGACATCGTATTTCCATAGGATTTGTTTGCCTTAGTTTAATCTCTCTATCCACTGACCAGGGAGTTGTATAAAGAATTTTGCCCTCAGTATCAAGAAGCAGACAGTACAGGCTGCTGTTCGTGCAGTGCCAGGGAGCTCCAGCTTTGGTTCTAGATAAAGGCGAGACATTTCATTTGAGTATTAGACTCGGAGAGAAGCCTTTTTCATCCTCCTCCTGGAAATAAATGCCTGTTTGAGCCCTGCGTAGCCTGTAGTGTTGTCACTAGGTTGGGTCACTGTAGATTGAAGCCAAGCAGCTGTTTCTTTTGGCTTTCCTGGCAGACACTGCCCCCTGCTTCTGATGTGTGCACTGTAGATGGTGGGCGGTCCTAGGGGGTGGGTGCTGGGGGAAAGCTTTCCCCTGCAGCAAGCGGAGGGAGGCAGGCAGGAGTCTGTTGGAAGCAGCGGGCTTCTCACACTGACTTGCAATGTTCTTGTGCTCCAGGTGCTGCTGTTTCTTTAAGAGGAAAAGGAAGAAGACCACTCAGCGCCACAAGTGACCAGTGCCTCCCAGGGGTCCTCAGGCCCTGGGGACTCTGACTCGATTGCACCTGCAGCTCCTGCCATTTCTCATTAGAAGGGACTCCTCTGTGGGGGCGGGTGGAGATCCAAACCAAAAAGAAGAACACAGATGCCCCCAGAAGGAGCCAGTGCGAGCAGCCAGGGCCCAGTGGGTCAGTGGCCATCCTACCTGCCTTGGGCTCTGAGCAGGTCCCAGAGCTCCGCAACTCCACTGCTTGCCCTTGGGGCTGCCTAGTCGACTGTCCTTCCCATTGTTTACAGTGAAGGTGTCATTCACAAAAACTCAAGGACTACTATTCTCTTCCTTCCCCTTCGTTTACTCCTGGTTCTCTCCCCATCCTCACTCCTCCCCAGCATAAAAGCTAGTGAGCTAAAGGCTTCATCTGCAGAAGGAGCTCAAGAGGCTGGGGGTGAGGCTAAGAAGGTAGGAGGAAGAGGGCAGACTGCCCAGGCCTGCCTGGCAGTATGGCTTCCACTTCCTCGGTGCCTGTGCAACCTCCATCCCGGGTGACCACGGGGTTCAGGTTCCTTCCAGCCTCTCTCCTGTGAAGTTACACTGTAGGACACAAGCTGTGAGAAATCTGCAGTCTACTGTCCCCACGTGTTGCGTTCTTAGCTTTCTTGACAAGTGAACTCTTTTCTCCAGGCGGTAGTCGGACAATGCAGATAGTTCTGAGCAAAGGAAAGACAACTGACTTTATTGCACTTTTAGTTTTTCGGGGTTTTTATGTTTTGTTTTTTCTTTAAACGAAAAACATGGCAGATGCATATTGTGTCTGGTTATATCGAGGGTTTTGCTTTTTTCTGTTTTGAGGGGGATGGGGCCAGCCAAGCCATTCAGAGAGAACGTGGGCCCAGGAGACATTCTCGGTGGAAAGAGGGATCTGCAGCATCCAGAAGAGAAAACAGCCAAACTCTGCGTCATTCTGAGGGTACTCAGGTTGGCGAGGAAACATACTTGAATTCTCATTCATTTTCTCAGCTGCTGAAGAATGTCTCTCCTAGAGCCTCTTGACGTTATCACCTGCATTCTGAAAACTGAGCTTTCCGGCACATGGGATGAGCCAGCAAGCCGGACTGTGACCAGGAGACAGCTCATCCCAGAGAAGAAGATGCTTGACAAAAAAAAAAAAAAAAAAAAAAAAAAAAACCTTAAAGTTTTTTTTCCCCCCCCCCCA